GATTGTGGCTATGGTCCCGAAATCACCCTGGCTTATTGGTGCCCTCTTTCTTCGGTCATTTTTGTCATTGTTTTTATAAATTAGTAGCGCCTCTGTGCGTTGATTTTTGCTGGCCTTTTTTATGAGCATGAGCAATTTTGCAGGAAGTTTATGGCAGATTTGAAGCCAGCGATGAGTAAAATGTTGGAAACTTGTCTTACGTTCGATCCCAGTTTTTCCGACAGTCAAAATTCTGCGTTGTTCCACTCAAATCTTCCGGTTTATTTGCTCGGCAAAACGTACAAATCCAGAGAAGGTATGTTCATTTTTTATTGCGTCAGTTTTCTTATACAAAGGATACAAGACCGTTTAAACAGTCGTTATGGGCATCCCATGTTAATGTGTTGCTGTTTCTGACTGTCGCGGAAAACCCGCGAAAAGCCGGCCAAAAAGCCACCACAAAGAAAAAAGAGCAGAAAAGAAAGGTGTATCTTGCCTTGGAAAACAGACGCACAGTGGATGTGCTGACAGGTATAAGGACCGGTGGTGTAGTGGTAACACATTGCGTCCGGACTTGAACGGAAGTGGTTCGATTCCCCTCCGATCCAGAGCAATTTTTGAGAGAAAGGGCTTTGTTCGCGACATTGATGTTAGGAAATTTTTATCCATATCATACTTCGTTCTATCTTACGACAATACAATACGCTGCCATTCGTTTGAATTAAGAGGAAACAGCGCGGGATTAATGCACTAATTTCTAATAATTCTGAACGAAACAGAATATGTGGGAGCGCCCGGGTAACATCACTGACGTTGGATACTCACACGGATTGCCTTGATATTCACTGTGATTGATAAAACTCTATTACTTGTTTTGATTAATGAGCAAGCGTTTCGTTTTTGTGCCGTAAAAACGCAATTTTGAAGGCTTCTTTTATTTGCTACGAGCGAAATGCTGCATTGGCTTTGTTATGTAATTCCTTCAATTTCCCTAAATTTTTGTATTTTTTTTTTTTTTTTT